CATATTTGATTATGAACTTTTGCTATATTTGAATTTGCTGGAGAAAGCTTACAACTTCACACTTTGCCAAATGATAAAACCTCAAGGGCAACTAATGGCAAGATGGGGATAGAAATTATACACTGTACTCAACACCTGATCAGCAGGAGAACTTGAAAAGAGGCCATTATCTTTAAACTGGAGGCAAGAAATCTACTGGGCTAACACAAGCACCTGAAGAGCATCCCATCCTGTTCCAGCAGAATACCAGCAGAAACATTGTATTTCCTGGCTTGCCAAGTAGATATTTCATACGCTTCTGTCTCTGAATTATTCTGCGTGTATGTGTACTTTACAAAATACAACTGATATTGAAACTCCCTTAAGACTAAAACCCACAAAAACAAGTTCAAACGTGAAACTGGCTGACCACAAAGGACTCCAGGGTGATTGACAGACTAATAATTACAAATGTGTAATTATTTGATGCATTACATATGATGCATTCTACAGAGCAATAAATCTTAAAATCGTTGCTCAGAAAGATGAGGAAAGAGGCTCACAAACACAGGAACTTCCAAGTTAAGAACACATATTCACATTACCTTATTCTTTTCCCCACATCCATCATACAAAGAGTGATAAAAGGCCTCCTGATTCATCCCTCCTCTCCCTCTAGCCACCACATACTAAATGGAACTTGTCATTTATTCAGAGGGGACGAGACCAGAAAATCATTAGGATTACTTGATACTCTACATCCAGGAAGTCGATTTTCACTCCTAACTGCTGCCCGCATACTTTCCAGCAAATCTCAGAGAAGTAAAGATGCCAAACAAATTCTTTTTTTTTTTAATTTATTTATTTTATTTATTATTTATTTTGGGCTGCATTGGGTCTTCATTGCTGCACACAGGCTTTCTCTAGCTGCGGTGAGCAGGGGCTACCCTTCCTTGCAGTGCATGGGCTTCAGTAGTTGTGGCGCGCAGGCTCAGTAATTGTGGCTCATGGGCTCGAGAGTGCAGGCTCAGTAGTTGTGGCACATGGGCTTAGTTGCTCCGCGGCATGGGGGATCTTCCCGGACCACGGCTTGAACCTGTGTCCCCTGCACTGGCAGGCAGATTCTTAACCACTGCGCCACCAGGGAAGTCCCAAACAAATTCTTCGAGACTAAATACCTATCAATCCATGGCCCATAAAAGTGGTCTACAGGCAATTTTAGATATACAAGTCACCATTAGCTTTATGGTTTTGAGCAAATCCCTAGGCAGAGTGGAAGACTCTGTAATAATTAATTGTTACAGTCAAAAAAACTTTCTTACAGCTCATATAAATCTGAATCCACCAGATAAAGGGAAAAAATTCATCTTCAATGGGTTCATATTGCCCAAATTTCAAAACTCCAAAGCAAATGAATATTAAACATGTAACTTACCAAGACTTGGGCTCTCCAAAGTGGAGGTAATTAATGCTGTAGAGGTCCATATCCTCGGTGTGCCATGCAAATGTGGTTTTCCACATGCCAAAATAGAGATAAGGAGTATTTACACCCTCAATAGAAATACCACACTCTTCCTCAACCACATCCAAGACCGTGTTTAGGTGAGCTATGTTCCATTCATCCACACCCTAGAATCAGGGGAGAGAGGAAAAAAAAAAAGCAAACATTAATAAACTCATAAAGATAACATTTACTGCTCAAAACATCATCTGCCAAAATTATTATACTGTGTATTTTAATTCACTTAGAAATAAAAAATAAAGCAACAATTATCCAAGGCATGCACGTGCACACACACACACACACACACACACACACACACACACACATATTTATACAGATCCATGATTAATTATCCAAGATTACTACCAACGTAATGTGGCTCTATATAAACATTAGTATAAAATTGTACCAAACGACAGAGAATTAAGGCCCCACTCCCCATTTGCTGTTAGTAAGAAAAATCATTGATTCAAAGCATATGATCTGGAGCATGCTTTCCATCATTGGCACACCATTTAGTTTTGGGGGTTTCCTGGTTTTTAGCTTGCTTGTTTATTTGTACATTACTTAAGAAGTCATATTAAACATCAGACATCATCTCAAGATACCACTAACAAAATATATCTTCTGTCATCCCTCTCTCATCCCCACCCATTTCAATTTTGGCATGTGATAACATCATTTCCTGAAAATTCAACTCTAATTATTGGGAAAATTCTCAGCCCCATATTCTAAGCCACAGATCATTATGCTTTTACTGCTTCTTCAACTAAATATTAGCCTCTTATGTTGATGGGAAATTTTAAACAAAGAATAACTGCTAAAAATACTTATCCAAACTCTGGCAAAATTGCTGGAATAATGTAGTTTTATAACAGTAACCCAACATGGCTGGTGATAGAAAGAGACAGAAAAGTTTGAGTCACTGATATAAAAGTTAAAGTGGCAGGAAAAGATTCCAGTTTTATTAAAACTTACCAATCTCTTATTAATTCACTGTAATTCACAACTGCTTACCATTTTTACCAACTATGTATTTTTCCCATATACTTTTCTAATAATCAAATTCTAAATATCAGAGACCAGGTCCATTTTTACGCAATCATGAGGAAATGGCAATGTCTTTAAAACTAGTTCAACCTCTTCATGGTGCTATTAAAGAGGGACATTAAATTTATTTATGTATATACCCAAAAGGCCTTCTCCAATAACTATGCCAACGGCCTCACAGACAACCATGTCTAATAGTTCCCTTATGCACTAAAAACTTTCAGGGCTGTTCTGTTTTCATTCTGGTCTTTAGATGACAATATAATCAGTGTCCTGATCTTACCTCCTTGAGCTTTTGGGTCAGGAAAATTGTTGATGGGGCAGTGAATGAAGTTCTGCCTCAGGTAATATAATTGAAAGTGCCAGGGGAAATAATTTAATTCCCAAATTCCCCAAGGTAGCCGCTCTATCTACAACTTAAACCCCACAGTAGGAAGTTTGCTATTTGGAAACTGTTCAAAGTAAGTATCCTTTTAGAGAAGATCCTAGGTTCCAACTTACAAGACCTCATAAAAGTTCAATCAAATCATGTAAAATATTTTATCTCACTCTATTTATAGTGATACAATCTCTTAACTCTAGTCGAATCAGACTTCAGTCCAACCACTCTAATAATACAGTCCTATTTAAAAGTCATTTCTGAGGCAATGAATATGAAGTAATAAATGAGTACCATATTATAGGAATGATTTTTAAACTGAATGAGCTTGCAAATTTAGGAACAAACCATCCCTCTGAAATTGCTGCATTTGGAGAAGTCTTATCTTTGTTTCTGACTGATATTATCTTTCAGAAATAACTGAGGCCGAATCCCTTGACATGCCTAGACCTGTGGGTCTAAAGGGATGAGCAAAGAGAAGAATGAGTGATGGCAAAAAGACCCAGATTATGGCTCCGGCTCTGCCACTGCCCAGGACAAAAGTCACCGAGATTTTCTGAGCTTCTAGTCTTTCTTCGTGAAAGCCTGAGGGCTACAGTACCCTCCCAGAGCTGTTCAGAGTACTGAATAGGCTGAAGGACACAAAACCTTTGGAAAAATAAAATTTACTATGGCTTAGAACTGATTAAATAAATGTCTCCACTATTCTCTAGTAAATCTTACTGGAAAGCCTCTACCGAAACAAAAGCCAAAGACATGATAAGTGATAATAAAGTCCTATGAAACTTACTATTGAAATTCTCCCCATTAATGGGCAAATAATATGTCTGCAGCAGTTTCTTTTGCACAAGGCCAAGGTTGCCATGATGTTTAAACTTAATTTCTTTTGCTAAAATAAAAAGTCAGGGCTTCCCTGGTGGCGCAGTGGTTGAGGGCCCGCCTGCCGATGCAGGGGACACGGGTTCATGCCCTGGTCCGGGAAGATCCCACATGCCACGGAGCGGCTACGCCCGTGAGCCATGGCCGCTGAGCCTGCGCGTCCGGAGCCTGTTGCTCCGCAACGGGAGAGGCCACAACAGTGAGAGGCCCGCGTTCCGCAAACAAACAAACAAAAACAAAAAACAAACAAATATACAAAAGTAATATAATTTTAATAAAAGAGGTTATTAAAATATTAAGAATAACTGGTATAACAGAGGCTGAGAATAAATCTTACTATTTCCAAATTCCTTCTCCAATTTCTGCTCTCTACTATTGACTGAACTGGCTAGCTGCCTCCAAGGACAGGTTCTACTCAAACTCTGAAGAGCACCAGGTCTCCTTCAGAGATTCAGACAAGGAGTACACCTCATTTGTCATTTAGGAGAAGTGTGACACCACAGTTTACCTCACTACTCTACACATACATATACACTACATCTATCCAAAACAATTCTGTAACACAGGTAACATTATACCCAAATGAACAAATGGAAAAAAACCAGTGCTCCTAGAATAGTGGGAGGCAGAGATAAACCTAAATCTACCTGACTCTAGGCTTTCACTTATAAACTCTACACTTCCAGTTCTGACCATGTTAAATACAGCATATCATCCTTTTCTCTCAGCATCAATTATCAGCAAAGATCCAAGGAACTAAAATTTAGGACAGGCAAACATATAAAACTGCTACATTCTTCCCACCCAGGCATACAGCCGCCCTACACAAACACTGGCAAAGCCTGTAAGAAAAGCTGCTTCCCTTGGGAGTTGGTGATAGAATTTAGTGTAAAAGTAGCCTCCAGAAAGACCCCAGCTACAAACCAGCCCCACAATGACAGGTCGAAATTTGCCAAACCGTTCAAAGCTTAAAGCTGTCAAGTCTCGGCAGAAAAGTCTGCACACCAGCCCAAGTTCAGAGACAAGTGCCTCTTCCCAGATTCTATCCCTTCACATAAAGCCCTTCTACACAATGTCCAGCAGGTGCTTGAGCAATATCTGTAACTCACCTGACCTCCACTGGGCAGACATTTCCTCCCTGGTCCCACCCCTCCCTTCACCCCGATAACCCAGTGCATTCTAAGCCTGCCCTGCCCTGTTTGTCTATTTACCCTGTATCTGCCTGGTTTTCTGAAATAATTCACCATTGGACCATAATTTGTACACATATGTGTAAGACAGAAGTTTATCAAGGATCTTTCCTTTCAATCTCTGTATCATCAGCCTATCAAGAATCAGATGGCAATTTGAAAGAACTCCTAAATTTTCATTACCATAGGCACTCAGGAGCTGCTTGAAGACCAGGCTTTGGACTTCGGACTCTTCACAGAGGAAGTAAGCACCCCCAAACTGGCATCAGCATGAACGATGCATCTATAAACCTATGCAGAAAGACTGTGCCAAGTTTGAGCTCACGCCCTTGAGCTCTGGGCCTGGGTCCCTGAACACAGCCCACATCCAGGCCAGGAGCACCTTCTTCCCGGGACTATGAGCATCCGGGATTCCCTCTTGAGTGACCGCGCTCAGCCACTGCGAGACTGCAGGCGGAGAGGGCAGCAACATGCCACATTAGAACACGTACCAAGAAGGAGTCGTTCCCACCTAACACAGAGAAATAACGCAAAACTCATAGCAAACCAATTCTTCCCAAAATAACCCTCTGAGGACCACTACTCTACGAGAGGCTGTGGTCAAAAAGCCCTGGCGTCCTTTTCTCCTCCTCTTACAAAGTTACGGTGCCAACAGGCACTCCGAAGGTTCTGAGAGGCCATGCTACAAGGAAGCCTGATTCACTTTGCTTAACTCCACTTTTCCCGGATGTGATTTGACCACGGGACCTTGTTTACGGAAGACATTACTACCTTTCCTCAACAATGTCAATATCCAGCCCACATGTTTCTCCTCCCCTGCCCACCCGCCCTCTGCCCCGACTCCTGCCATCAGCCGCAGCACCTTCAACGTTATCCCCACTGGGCTCTTCCCAAACAGTGCTCTGAGCCTCCATCTCTCTACAGCTTCACTGCCACACGCCCAGCTCTAAGCTGGACTCAAAGTGACCAGCAATAATTTCTGAAATCTATAAATTTATGGGGAAAAACATCATTTCATTAGAAAATCCAATTATTTAAAGAAGAAGATCCACCTCCTAGGTACTGTAAAACTCTGAGAAAATACTAAAAGAAATTATTAAAGATTCTAACTAAAGTTTTCAGGTACTTTTATTTAGTATTTTTTAAAAGATTATGCTTTCCTCATTTGGCTCTAACCATCACTTTCTATGACCCTTAATGCAGTCCAGCCAACACCTACTGTGTACTGTGATCCAAACAAAAGACTATCCACCCAATTTCCACTTACTTTAAAGCTAGGCTAATGTAAATTACTGCCACCAATTCATATACCTGTAACAAGCCCTTGAAGTTTCAAAGGTAATGCAAATGAAGAAAGAAAAATAAAACTTGGTTAGTTTTAAAGACTTCAAAATTCAATCCATTTTGCACAGTAATGTGTGAAAATTGCACCTTTCAATAACTAAAATGAAAGCTCTGGTCACATTTTAAAATAGAGGATTTCGTTAGGATCTTTACACAGTAAGAATAAAATTAGACCCATGTGAAATTCAATTTGCTTTAAAGTTAATTACAATGTGTGATGTGATAGCTCCTTTTGTTTCTTCCTTTCCATGAAAATATCACATTCTCTAAACTTTCTACTTTT